GAGAGAGAGAGAGAGAGAGAGAGAGAGAGAGAGAGAGAGAAGCACCAAACCAAACCTGCCCCTTTCCCCTGTTCTCAAAGTAAATAGTTTAAAAGGTGGATGGCCCAGCACTGCTTAGCTTAGGTGAGACCTAAATTGAGTTAGCCTAATGAAGAATCAAAATCGCTTCTGTACCACTTTAGTCAACAGGTATCATCCAGTTAGTTACCAGGTTGGTTCGTTCGTTAGTCCATTAAATGGTGTCACATGGTGTGTTTTCCCCTAAGCACCTGACCAATGTATATAGGTAAGCCGGTTCCTTCCCTCAAGAACTTTACAATCTAGTAGGAAGTTAAGACTCATAGAGACCGGTGACACAGAAAGAAGCACTGGCAGCCACTACAGAATAATCTCTAGTTCACAGCTGAGGTGGCATCTGTATTTTGACCCTGAGATATACGCAGTCAATACAGAGTGAGTTTCCTCTCAGGAGACTCGCCCTGAGGTCAGGCAGGAGTCTTGAGAAGCTACTGAAGTGGTCTAAATGAGACCAGAAGGCTCAAACAAGGCATGCAGTGTCGGCTTGGGTTTTGTTCATTTGTTTTGTTTTTAAAAAACAACGTTTGAAGCCACACAACAAAATAAGGGTGATCTTTCCAGGCCCACCTCTAGGTACAGCCCTCCAAGGACAAAGCTCGGCATTTACCTAACACACGCCCTATGTTCACGCCTCTACCTGAACTATTGCTCTTTTTTCACTTAGAGGAGAGTAGCAAACTCTAGCTCACTGTGCACTTGTCAGCGCACACCAGGTGCTCTTGTCAGGATTTCCCACACTAATCCAAGAGTGGATGGACTTCTCATGACAGGGAGCTGAGGCTTATGGAAGTTAGTAACTACCGCCCTACGTACACAAGGCTGGGTGTTGTTTCTTCATTTCTAAAGTGACAATACCAAGATACATAAAGATCAAATACACATGAGATTCACTTGTTAGCACTGGCAGACAAAGCCTAGCAGAGATTTTATACGTTTATCTTAGGAAATCCGAATTTTGAAGACTCAGAAAGCATGTTAATTTGATAAACTAAATAAGCTGTCTTCAGTGGTAGAGCCTTTGTGTGGCATGTAAGGTCCTGTGTTTGATGTCTAGCACTGTCACAAATGAAAGAGCTGGTTTTCGGGCTAGTAGACCATCCACATGGCCACGAAGCTCAACAAGTCTCCAAACCACCAATAAAGTAAAAAGAGGAGACACGGGCCGGGCGGTGGTGGCGCATGCCTTTAATCCCAGCACTTGGGAGGCAGAGGCAGGCGGATTTCTGAGTTCGAGAGTTCAAGGCTAGCCTGGTCTACAGAGTGAGTTCCAAGACAGCCAGGGCTACACAGAGAAACCCTGTCTCGAAAAACCAAAAAAAAAAAAAAAAGAGGAGACACACCTCCTTCTTCATCCGGTAATACTCATCAATGGCGTACTGGTATTTTGGGGTGCTGATGCCCAAAACTGACGCAATCTTCTCTCCAAGAAAGTCACACACTAAAGATACAAAAGTTAAAAGATATACAACACCATAAACATTTCTTGAGCATTTTATGTAATACTAAGAATACAAGAGTTACTGTTTTATCCTCAAACACAATATCACCCTGTCTTCTCACTTTTGTCCTGGACACTCAGTTTGTTCACATCTCTATCTGTGTGTGTGTGTGTGTGTGTGTGTGTGTGTGTGTGTGTGTTGAGAACAATGTCTCTGTAGCAGAGATTTCAGAGTATTTTGTCAGTGATCTTCTACCAGCCTCCACAGTGCTGGGATTCCATGTGTGGCGCCATGGCCAGCACAGTTAGAACACGTCTCATTAGTTACTGCAGTTATCAGGTACAGGTCTAGTCCTTAGGACAACACACTGTATTAGAGTATCACTGGGAAGAGGGCTGGTCTTGCCACCAGGACTTCCTCACCAGAATGGCCAGTTCCTTGAGCTCTGTTCTGTCTCACCAAGATCAGCACCTGATACAGAAGGCTCTGGCAGGCAATGAGAGGTCGGGCCTAGTAACTTAGCGTGGTCAGGCCTAGTGACTTAACGTTGTTGCCAAAGTGGATAAAAAAGCTAACATTGAAATACCAAACTGTCTAACATACAATACAGGCTCAGGAAATGTTGGGTCAAATACTAACCATGATTTACTCTAATTAAAAAAGTGACAGAGTCATCAACTAGTTAACTGGAAGCAGTAAATTTTGTTATTTACACATTAACAAAACTACTTAAGTTGACAATTCATTTCCTTCAAATATCAGTTACATTTCTATTTAAGAAGTGAAATATTGCTGGGGCAGAGCAATGGAAGTTTTTGCCTGGGATGTACAGGACTGGTCAATCTTCAGCAACATGAAAAAGTTACATTCAAACAAAGCATGCTTCCTTGTAACTACATAACAGAATAGAATGGTAAGATGCTGGTATGCAAGGAAGAAATCATAATACAAATAAAAATATGAATGGTTTCTAATAAGGCTTTAGAATAGGCAGTGAGCCGTGATGAGATTTTCAGCAGTAGGAAGCCAGTTGGTAACAGAATGGGTGATGACAGCTTTAAAACATGACAACCCTGTCTATGTTAATGGTGCCATTTTCCACGGACAGTTTTTATTATCACACTGACAGGGCAGCACAGTGTATTCTGTGGAGACCAGAGGACAACTTTTGAGGAGCAAGTTCTCCCCTGAGGGACTCCAGGAACCAAGTCTGCTGTCACTTTGATGGCAAGCACTTTACATGCTTGAGCAAACTCGCTGGCCCTAGTTTGTTTCCTTCTAACACGACTGTAAACGGAAAACCATGTGTACAAGCTAGAACAATAGCTTTTCCAGTGCTAGCTGGCTACCTATAGAGGACAAAGTAGTTCCCTATTTTGTTTCTGTCTCAGTGAGAACACTTCATTTGATTCAGCTCCTGTGTGCAGAATATATTAGAGCAGTCATATAATATTCAGTTCAAAGGGCAATACCTGAGAGGGTTGAGGTGGCAGCCCGCAGCATGTAAAACCATAAGTAGGGGCCCCAGGTAAGTTTTGTCTGCAACAAGAAGTCAGATTAGCAACATTCATCTGATAGTATCTTTAAACCAGAGCGAACTAGCTAAATGATTAGTAGGCATATCAGGTATCCATAGGTAGCACTGCAGAAGCCAGTCAAATAAAAACCTAAGTATATCCAAATTCCACAAAGATACTTCATGTTTTTCCATGTGAGTATCACCACCTTTACCCATGGAAGAACTGAAAACAGGTTTAGCGCTGGAATGGCACCGTACCTCAAGCTGGACTGCCTACAGCCTTTCTCCTCACTTGCTTTCTTGTCTTCATTCTTCATAAGAACATCCAGGAGAGTGCACAAAGAAAGGACCTTGCAAATACACCTGATAGCCGGGCGGTGGTGGCGCACGCCTTTAATCCCAGCACTTGGGAGGCAGAGGCAGGTGGATTTCTGAGTTCGAGGCCAGCCTGGTCTACAGAGTGAGTTCCAGGACAGCCAGGGCTATACAGAGAAACCCTGTCTCGAAAAACAAAAACAAAACAAATACACCTGATAAACATATTACATCCGGAAAATTCTGGTACAGAAATGAAGGTAAATACAGGGATATCAAGTGAGTGTTCAATGGTAAAAAAAAAATAAGCAGCAGTGAAAGAAAGGACGAGCTGTTTGGTGTGTGTGTGTGTGTGTGTGTGTGTGTGTGTGTGTGTGTGTGTGTGTGTGTGTGTGTGTTTTAAGACAGGGTCTCGCTCTGAAGCTTTGGCTGTCCTGGAACTCACTATATAGACCAGGCTGCCCTCAAACTCAGAGAGATCCTCCTGCCTCTGCCTCCTGAGAGCTAGGATTAAAAGCATGCAACAACACACTCAGAAGGTATATTCACTGAAGACCCCAATCTCTTTTTTCCTGTTCTATTGTTGTTTGTTTGGTTGGTTTTTGAAATAGGGTCTCTGTATGTAGCCCTAGATATTCTGGAACTCACTATGTAGAGCAGGTTGGTCTTAAACTCAGAGATCCCCCTACCTCTGTGTCCTGAGTGTTGGGATTAAAGACACATATCACCATGCTAAACACAATTTCTATAATATAATGTGAAATTTCTATAAAATGTTTTGGGTTGTATGAATAAGGAACTACTTACAAAAAAAATAGGCATAAAAACCCAGGTGTGTAGTGTTTGCTTGTAATTCCACCACAGAGGAGGCAGAGACAGGTGCCTCTCTGGGGCTTGTTGGCCAGACAGCCTATTTAACTGGCAAGCTCTAGATCCCAGTGAAAAATCCTGTCAAAAATCCTTGTCAAACAAGGCAGACAGCTCTAGAGAGCAACATCTGAGCTTTTACTTCCACATGTGCATGCACAGGTACACCAGCACTCGTGATCATGCACGCACAACTACACAGGCAAAGGAAAACAGATATTCTCACTGCACAGTTCTCAAGTTGTTTCTAGAGACAGTAACAGCCAACACTGAAGCAAGGACTATCAACCCTGTCCCGGCTGAGGAGATAGACGGCACCTGTCATCACCCCATGACTTCACAGAAGGAACTTATCCAGCCTGTTACCTGGACACAGATGTTGCTAAGTCAAAATCACAGGTGGCTCAAGTCTCCTCACAGCCATGTCACCATCTCAGAAGCACATATCTGGGTCTACACTGGTTCTTCCAGGCTTTGAGTTTACAAGTAAAACCACACATTTTTCTGTTCCTTCAAAAATGTGTCTCTCTTCCCTCTCAAGACCTTTTATTTTTCAAACGACTCTGGTTAATAATATAGTCGTACTCCCTAAGCCAGTGGTTCTTCCTAATGTTGCACCCCTTTAATACAGATCCTCCTCATGTCATGGTGACCCGCAACCATAAAATTATTTCATTGCTACCTCATAACTGTAATTTTGCTACTGTTATTGTAATGTAAATATCTGATATGCAGGATATCTGCTGTGTGGTCCCGTGCGGGTTGCAACCCACAGGTTGAGAACCTCTGCCCTAAACAGACCTATAATCCAATAAGATCTCCACTGCCTTCTCTTCAGAAGTTAGCGAACTGCTTCTAAAATTTACATAGTACTTTAAGGGACCTAGAACAGCCAATCTTGAAAAGAGAAAAAATGAGCAAGCCCTGTACTCACATTTTTCAGCTTCAAAATCTATACCCAGGCACAGGAGAATGCCCCTGTACTCCAGTGCTCCAGAAGACAAGAGGCTAGGAAGGGTATCGGCACAAGAATAGATCCATAGAACTAATGGAGGCCTTAAGTCCAGAAAAAACTATATTCAATAGTCAGAGGGTTTAACAAGGGCAGCAAGACTATGGTAGTTTGAATAAGGATGGCCCTCACAGACTCATGAATTTGAACAAGGTCACTAGGGAGTGGAGCTATGTGAAAGGATTAGAAGGTGTGGCCTTGCTGGAAGAAGTTGTCATTGTGGGGTAGGCTTTGAGGTTTCAAAAACTCAAAGAATCTGTGTCCCCATCCTCCCCTCTTCCTGCCATGGGATTAGGATAGAGATCTCAGCCAACTCTCCAGCACCATGTCTGCCTCTGTGCCACCATGCTTCCCACCATAATGACAATGGACTAAACCTCGGAAACTATAAGCAAGCCCTCAAATGTTTTCCTTTATAAGAGTTGCCTTGGTCCTGGTGCCTCTCCACAGCAACAGAACAGTAACTAAGACACTACTTGAAGAAAGAGATTTTTCAAATTACACCGTGAAGTCTGGAAAATCACACGGCAAAGTCTGATGTCTGACCCTTACCCATATACAAAATTAACTCTAAACAGATGTGGCTGCTGGCATCTATGAGCGCAGCTGTAATCTCAGCATTCAAGAGGCTGAAGTGGGAGGATCACCTCGAATTCTGAACAAGCATTGGCTACAGGTTGTCACAAAACAAAAACCAGTACCAAAGACCTGACTATACAAACTACTCATAAGGTCTCATTACGTAGCTGTCCTGGCCTGAAACTTACCATGGTGCCTAGGCTAGTCTTGAACTTGGTACTTTCCACACCCAGTCTGACACTATAAAACTTAAAAAAAAAGAATAAACCTAAGAATTAACTCTAGCTGGGTGCGGTGGCACACACCTCAAATCCTAGCACTCAGGAGACATAGGCACGGCACATACATGGTACACACACATAACATACAGGCAGCCAAAACACCCACACACATGAAAATAAAAGTTTTTTTAAAATGAAGAACAAAAAATGGTGTAGCCACATGGAAAGTGACCAGGCAATGTTCCTCAAATGTTTAAACAGTTAACAAATGACCCAGCCACTCCACCCCTAGCTACATGACCAAGACAAAAACCACGAAGTGACACAAAAGCCTGCATTCACAGCACAATATTCATATGACCCAAATAGTATAAATAACCAGTGTTTCCACTAACTGACAAAGGAATGAATGAAATGTGGTACAGTCACCCAATGAAGTATTATCTTGTTCTGTAATATAACAATAAAGGGACAAAGTTCTAACACATGCTACACATGATTGAACCTTGAAAACATCAAATGAAAGAAGACGGTCAGAAAGCACACAAGGCTGTGTATCACAGGGAAAGCTCTGTCTGCACACAAAGACTGTGTGCCAGGAATGAGGTAGGAGATGGAGGGTAGAAAGGAGGTAAACACTTTTCCAGATGGCGTAAATGTGCTACAACTGACTGTGCCCATGGCTGTCCCATGCTACCTGAGGATATGCTAACTAACTGAGGATATGCTAACTGCTACTAAATTATACTTTAAACAGGTGAATTTGTACAGCATGTAAGCAGGAGTTCAAACAAGCTTTTTCAAAGAAACTGAATCCGTAAGTGGTGAGGATTCAGGCTTTCTCTAACAATGTGCCATTCTTGTTTCTATGGAGATATTGGGTAACTTTTGAGACAATGGGGTTTTTTTGGGGGTGGGGGGAGTGATGGAAAGCTTTTTTTTTCTCTCTCTCTCTTTTTCCTTTGAGACAGAGTCTCACGTAGTCCAGACCAGCCTCCAGCTTGCTATATAGCTGAGACTCGGCTTGAACTCCTGATCCTCCTGCCTCCACCTCTTGCCACATCAGCTGAAACTGATTTTAAAACATGGAAACATCTTTTAAATGATTTCATTAACTTTATTTTATGCGCATTGGTGTGAAGGTGTCAAATCCCTTGAAACTGGAGTTACAGGCAGTTGTGAGCTGCCATGTGGGTGCTGGGGATTGAGCCCAGGTCCTTTGAAAGAGCAGATGGTGCTCTTAACCACTGAGCCATCTCTCCAGCCCTGTATACAAACATTTTGAAGACAGTTCTAACTAATCTCTTCAGAGTACTTTACAAGAAAAACATCTATCCAAATAATCCTTCTACTTTATGGATTACCTCTAACATTCAACATGTCTGGCTACTCTGAGTATACTGGACTTTGAATATTTTCTATACTATAGAATGTGGAATTGCTTTTTTTTTTAGGGGCTGGGGCAGTCCTGAGACTCGGTTTCTCTGTGTAACAGCCCTGGCTGTTCTGGAACTCATTTTGTAGACCAAGATGGCCTCAAAGTCATGGAGATCCACCTATTTCTGCCTCTTGAGTGTTGGGATTAAAGGCATAAGTCACTGAGCCTGGCATGGAATTTCTTTTCTTAATAGCTAAAAATTTACTCAGCTAAACCTTATAAAAATTAATATCCTAAATTAAATATAATTTTTAAATTCTCTAATCTATTTCTAGGTTTTATTTGTAGCCTTTATGAGAGCCTTCTTAATTATAAGGCATTCATTTGTTCATTGACTGTATCCCCATACAGTTTATATGAGCCACTGTCCCATGACCAGCGTCTAAACCAGAACTTCTCAGAGGTGCCCATTGTAAACACGGGATCAATGGACTTTGTTACCTCTAAGAACACTCATTCTGTGAACTGAAAGGGACTCGGATTCAAATACTGGACTTACTAGAGCTTCACATAAATTCACACTGATAACAAGCTCTGCTACAAAGAAGCAGAACTGGTTCAGGCCACTGAAACGTTGGAAATATTTCCATCCATACTGTGTAAAAATAATGTTTTCTACCAGATCATACTGGATGGTAGTTGGCATAAGCTTCAAGTGGTCCTTTCCATTCAGTGTTCAAGGAACAAACCTAAGCAGGCCAAGCCATCAGCGGCAACCGTACCGGGTCGACAGAGGGCAGCACGTCTTTCTTGTCCAGGCCATCCACCTCATCCTCATCAGTGCTGTACTCCTCCATAGTCTCTCCGCTGACAAAGTGGATGACCCTCCTGGGGACTTTCTTCTTTTTTCCCATGACTCCCAGTTCTACATTCTCAAAGCCTCTTTCATTACTCATCTATATCAATGAAAAATTAAGAAAATGAGTTTTGAGTGAGTCTGCCTTTCATTGTACATCTAACAGATGTTTGATTGCTTTACTTTAAAGATCAATGAAACTAGAACAATCCTTAAGCAATTTTTAAAAAATTATACATACCTCAGGAATACTAAATCCAGCTCCTTTTAGGCCCAAGAAGGTACCCAAAATTGATAAATCTCTACAGGGATGAAGGGCTCCTGGGAAGATGCATGGCCCAACTAAAGGCATTTAAAGTGAGAGGAACCTATTTTTTAGATTTATTTTTATGTTCATAAGTGTTTTACCCAAATAATATTGTATGTGCACCACATGTGTGCCTGGGCCCACACTGAATCCCCATGACTGGGAGTTATAGATGGTTGTGAGCCACCATATGGGTGTGAGTAACCAAATCCAGGTCCTTCTGAAAGTAACAAGAGTTCTTAACTGCTGAGCCATCATCTCTCAAGCCTGGGGCATGGGGGAGGATTTTAAATACTGTGCCAAATAAAATCTAAAAACCCATCAGTGTTCTGTATCTGAATTTTCAGATAACTTGGTCATTAGTATATATGTTATTGTTTTGTTTGTTTTTTTTAACAAAGAGATCTACACATTTCAAAACTGCTTATAGAAGACTGGCATGGTGGCACACACTTTTAATCCCAGAGGTACATAGAGACAGACATATCTGTGAATTTGAGGCCAACCTGGTCTTTAGAGTTCCAGGACAGCCAGGGTTACATAAACCCCCATCTCCAAAACAAAAACAAAATGAAACTACTTATAGAGTATAGGATTGTAAACACATCCAAATTTCATTCTGAGGAATTATTTACTCTGTTTTTGGTTATCTGTTTGCGAGTGCGTGCGTGCATGCGTGTGTAGCCTCAAACTTGCAATGTAGCTGAGTATAACTATGAACTCTTGATCCTTCTTTATCCATCAACCAAGTAGTGAGGTTATTCACAGCTTCAGAAGTGCAGGTGTGTGTGTTGTGTGTGTTGTGTGTGTTGGGGATATGTGCACTCATGTGTGACAGGCAGGACAATCAGAGTGTCATCTATCATTGTTGGTTTTTTAAGACAGGCTTTCTTCTTGGCCCTGAACTCTCCAAGTAGGGCTGACTGGCTGGCTAGCAAGCCTGGAACCCACCTGTCTCTGCCTTACCAGTGCTGGGATTACAAAGTTTTTAAAAAATTCCCAGGGATGGAACTGTCATCCTTGTCCTAACTATGTCATACAGGCTAGCATAAAATTCCTGTTAATCCTGACTTTTGCCAGTTTTTAAAAATCTAAAAAACAGGAAGCCTAAAACATGATTCACAGGGGGGTTTTGTTTGTTTTTTGTTTTTGTTTTTTTTGTAGTACCAAAACTATATAAGTATAAAACCAAATTTTGATTAACACTTGGTATGTGATAATTTTAGTGGCATTTGACTTATTCTAATTATCACATTTCATATAAAAGCTTTATGATAGCTATGGTAACACAAGCCTATAATCCCAACATTTAGGGAGAGCCAGGAGGATCAGTGGTTTAGGGCCAGCCTCTACCACTCAGTAAATTTAAGGCAAGCCTGAGCTATAAAAGATCCTATCTTAGAAATCAAACAAAAGAAGGTGGGGCACAGAGATGACTCAACACTTGCTGCTCTTAAGAGGATCTGGGTTGGTTCCAGTACACACACCGACAGGCTCACAACCGTCTTAACTCCAGAGCCAGGGAATTTGACACCCTCTTCTGGCCTCTGCGGGCAGCAAGTGTATATGGTATACAGACATACATGCAGGCAACACACTCATACATATACTAACAGAAATAAACCATTGTTTTTGACATGGTAAATCTCAAATTGTAGGCCTATATTTTAAGCAAACCTGTATAAAAGCCAAGTAGTAATATCTTAGGTTTTACAGAGCAGCTAACAGCAGTTCTCAGCCTGTGGGTTGTGACCCCTTTGAAGGATTATATATCAGATATCCTGCATACCAGATATTATTTACATTATGATTCAGAACAGTAGAAAAATTACAGTTGAGGCCAGCCTGGTCTACAGAGTGAGTTCCAGGACAGCCAGGGCTACACAGAGAAACCATCTTGAAAAACCAAAAGAAAAAAAAGAAAAATTACAGTTATAAAACAGCAACAAGATAATTTTATGGTCACAGCATTAGGAAGGTTGAGAACCACTGAGCTAGGGTTTCATAAATTGAACTCTACAAAACAGGCAAGGATGAAGAACCACTTATATGACACCATACAATGGCCGTGAGTGGATGCTAATGAAACTTAGCGTGAAGTGGATGAGGAGCCGGACCTGGCTCCTGGCCTATGGTTCATGAGCCAGACTGGAAAGCAACAGGCCTGTGAGAGTCGGACGATTCATGACCTGAGAGTGCTTTCAACTGGAACTTGAGGAATGGGGTGGTGACAGGAGGTATCGCCAGGCAAAACCAACCAAAAATTAACCTGGCACAACATTTCCAACATTTATAAATAAAGTCTGGAGCAGTTTCTGAATATTCCAGATATTTTATCTTTACAGACAGTAAACCTGTATAGGAGAATATTTTGCTGGGGACTGGCGGACAGGAAGATCAATGGCTCAGCGGGTCAGAGCGTGAGCTGTTCTTACACAAGACCCACACCATGGCTGACAACCACCGTAACTCTGCTTTCAGATTCCAACACTCGGTTACCAAGCACACTCATGGTACCCATACATACAAAAAGGCAAAACATTCAAACACATAAAATGTCTTTCAAAAAGTATTTTATTGTCAGTTCTATAAATTTCATTTTCAAAAAAATCCAAATATCTGAAAACACAATTTTCTAGCAGTAGTAAAGTGAGAAATGTAATGTCCATTAACATTTAATTATACTTTATGGTTAACTAGAATGAAAATCTTGCGTTTCAGGAGCTGTGGGGCTTTGTTGTTGTTTTGTTTTGGGGACAGATCTGTTTGCTGTCCCTCTCTGTTTTTAATAGGTACTGTCTGTCTTGTAGATGTCCACAATGCTCGGGTCTTCTTTTAAAAATAAATACAACACCTAGAATTATTCTGTCATTTCCCTCAGTGGGGATTTTAGCAACTCAGGGTAGGTAATACCACACCCTTTGGTCCACGGCAGCTCTTGCTACACAGAGACAGTAGAGGTGCTAAGGAAATGAACACAGCAGAAACCTGAGCTCCTGAGCTGTGCTGAGCCTGAGACTCTGTTACAAATCTATTCAGAAGAGTTTGAATACAGTGTCCCATTAGATCCTAGGTAGCCTGGTAAGGCCTAGTTAACAATATGGTTGAGTCTATGGTTTCTCCTCCTGCATGGTGCTTTGGGTCGGCCTCTCCTCTCTTCTCTCCTCTCCTCTCCTCCCCTCTCTTCTCCTCTCCTCCCTTCTCCTTTCCTCTCTCCCCTCTCTCCTCTCCTCCCCTCCCCTTTCCCCCCCTTCTCATTCTCCTTCTCTCTCTCATTTTTCTTTTTTCTTTGTGAGGCAGGGTTTCACTGTATAGCCAAGGCTAGTCTACAATTCAAAATGTAGCCTGAGCTGGCCTTAAGTTCACAGCAACCCTCCTGCCTCAGATTCCCAAATGCTGGGATTACAGATATAAGTCCCCACACCTGGACGGGGGTTTCTCTGTTTGATATAAGTCCCCACACCTGGATGGGGTTTCTCTGTTTAACAGTGCAAGGAGGAATATAAGTTGTCAGTAGCCTCTTCCTCCTCCCAGATCTCCACAGACCTCTTCCTCAAACTGGGCAAACCCCTTCAGTTCTCAGAGGTGCTTTTAGTTCAGAAATGTGAGTAAGATAAAAAACCGGTGAATTCCAAGAGTCTCTATCTATGGTGTGAGTTTGTATTAGCAAGGACGCAGTGTGTACACAGGACTTTGTATTACACAAATGGGAACTCAGGAGAAGAGGCCATGGGGTATGCCTGGGAGGTTTACCTTTTTCTCTACTGCCTGTTTAAATGTTTATTTTTAATCAAGACTATGAAAACTGGGGCTGGAGAGATGACTTAGCAGATAAGAGCACTTGTTCCTCCAAAGGACCTGAGTTCAGTTCCCATCGCCCACGTCAGATGGCTCACCACGGCTGAAACTCCAGCACCAAGCATTCAACTCTTCCTGCCTGAGGGACCCAAACATACATGGACACACACACATTAAGTAAGACCGTTTTTTGAAAGACTATGAAAACACTGTGGTTTAGCACCTTTTTTTTTCCTCTTATAATAACAAGATGCCATCTTGGAATGAGCCTTAGTCCTGGAAGTTAGACCATAATACATGGGTGGCCAGGTCTGTGGTGACTGTGATGGACCTGTGAGCACTCCTGAAGGGAGGGCTGGGAAACCCTTATCTGGAATTTCAGCCATCATTGCTTTCCTCTAACTGCAAAGGATCTTGGGAGATTTGAGACCATATATGGAAGCAAAAGGCTGATTAAATGAGAGGCCCCCAAGCTCAGTATCCACGACGGGATGGGACAAGACAGTGGTCTGTAAGAAGGCCCGATAAACTGATAGCCTCCCAAGGACGGACACAGTAAACTTACATTTTGGTGTGTCTCTGGTCCCCATCTGGAGTAGTTGGAGGTTTGCTTGTGCCTCCCCATGAAAAGTTAACATAACCAAATATTAAACCAAAGCAAGGAGCCACTCTAGAAATAAGAGGCAACTGGTCTCCGTATTGATTATGCTTCCTCTGCAATCAGTTCAAGCTGAAGGAGTGTGAGCACAGCAGCAAAAGCAGGAGAGATTATGAAGCAGACCATGGACTGCATACCTGAAGGGGCAGGGCAAGCCATCCGGGCAGCACGGAGAGCCTCCCCTCAACCGTTACCTCATTCTCAACACTAACCCAGCCAGGTGGACCTCATATGGTGGCAACCCTCCTCAAGCCTCCTAAGTGCCTGAACTCTTGACACCTTACTCCTTCTACATAGAAAGGGTAGGGATAAGATTCCATAGAGACTCATGGAGAGCAAAGTTTGTTAGCACATTACAACTTAGACTTATAAGTGATACACTCACAGTCAGATCATAATTCAGGAACCTGTAGTTTTGGAGAAGTGCCCAACCAACACTCAATTATTTCTTGTAAAATATGAAGCTACTGAAAAAGCACCTTTCTTACAAGAGGTACAATTCAGAGTTTTTAATAGCCAAAGTTATATATACTCCTGAAGAAAGTTTTAAAGCGATTTTTTTTTCTAAACTAGTGATGACTGAGACAACCCCCAGCAGCCACTAGTGGCTTATTTGGATTTACAGTGTGGCCAGTCACAACTGTATTCTGAATTTGGGACAGTATCGAGGGTATGATGGCTCAAGGTGAAGAAGTAGGAACACCTGAGTTGTCCTATGATCTCTTTCCTTCTCTCTCTCTCTCTCTGCCCCTCTCTCTAACACACCACACAGCCAATTATAAATTAAAGAGAATGTAAAACACTTGACTAGTAATTTCTTATTACTCATATGTTGAACAGTTTTTTTAAACAAAGGATTAAATATATTAAAGTTAGTATCACAGGATTATTTTACTGTCTTAAGGTATCATCCTTTCCCTGTGATTCACAACTGCTGTTAGCACATGTTTGTGTTGGGCTGCTCACCTCATCCGTGAACCCATCTCCAGACGTTGATATAGAAGGATTAGATGAGACTAAAAGTCTGAGCGAGGGGTTGTCCAGATCAAACTACCTTAACTGAGGTGGGGAGACCCAGCCTGAGAGTGAGCGGCCGGCAGAGTTCCCTGAGTCTGGGCCCTGGGCTGAGTAGGAGTAGACTGAGCTAGCTTATAGTGCATATGCTATTCACTAATCCCTGGTTCCTCGCCGCGGTAAGGCGGACCCCGACCTAACAGCCCCGGGTTGTCGCCCCTGGCTTTCGGCTACTTTAAGGACAGACAGCCTTTCCGGGACACGCCTGTTTTCTCTCTCTGGCAACCGGTGGCTGGAGTGTCTCCCCGGAAAGCCCGGGCACGGAGGCCGCGGCGCCTTGCCTCGGCAGCCGCTCCTCGTCCGAGCAAAATGAGGACACCGAACGGAACCCCGAAATGTCCAGCGGCTGCCCCTCTCCGCCAACCTACCTGCCGTGTCGTGTCTCCGAACGCCGCGGCGGCCGCTGCCTCGGTTTCTCCCGCCGCCGCGCATCCCGACTCACCGTCCATCGTCAGCGCCGGCCCAGGCAGCGGCGACACGGAGGTTAGTCGGAGGAACGCTCCCCACCGCCCGCACGAAGGATCCTACCGGGTCGCCCAGGCCGCCGGGGCTGCAGCACCCAGTCCACCCTCCCGGCAAAGGCGCGCCTGGATCGCCGGCGCCGGGCAGGGCAGGGCGGGGCGGGGCGGGGCGGGGCCTTCGCCGCTTCCGCGGGCCCGGGGGCGTGGCCTCTGCAGGTACCGCCCTACCTGCGCGGGCTAATCAGGCGGGCTGCGCAGGGCCCAGGCTGCGACGGAGACCCAGCACAGCAGTTCTCAGCTGGTAAAACCAGAATTGCATTCCTGTCGAAAGCTGAGAGGGAGGCTCTAAAGCTCTGAAACGCACCGCTCAGGTTACGTGTTCCATTTCTCACGAAATGCCCTTGAAATAAGGACCCAAAGGTGAACATTGCTTACAGTATGCTGGGGAACGGGGATTTTATTTATTATAGGACTGTGTGTGGGGGGGAGGGGGACTCCCAGATTTTATTTTTCCTAGTGTTCACCCAAATTATAGAAGTCATAGCCGCGATAAGTACTACAAGACTTCCTGGTTTACTTTTTGAGACAAGGATCTGTAGCCCAGGCTGGCATCAAAAACTCCCTAAGTAGAGGATGTGTGCTGGGATTTGAGGCAAGTGCCGCAACGACGCTGAGGTATTATTTCATGACTTCGACGTTATGCTAGTTGGAGCACTTCCAGGTAAATAGCTTTTAATTAACACGAAGATCTTCAATAATACATAGAAAGACAAAATAGAAAATACCGGTCAGCCTGGCGGTCCACACCTGTAATCACAGCACTTTCCTGAGAAAGGCAGTGCGTGTGTGTGTGTGTGTGTGTGTGTGTGCGTGCGTGCGTGCGTGCGTGCGTGTGTGTGTGTGTGTGTGTGTGTGTGAAGAGGACACCTCCCACCTCCATACACAGTGAGCCTGAAGCCATCTTAGGCTACACGAGACTGTCTTAAACAATATTTGTAAAAATAATACACATTATTTTGGCCAAAGAAGTGTGATGATCTAAAGTTGCCTGTCTACGTGTTTCTGTTCAGATGGAAGGGTACCCCGAAATGCAGAAGCCCAGGAACCACAGAGCTCTGAGAGGAGAAGATATTCGAGTGGAAGGGCATCATGAGACACAGGAGCTCAGGAATCACAGAGCTCTGAGAGGAAGCCTCAGCAGAGGAGCTCAGGGGCCTCAGCCCGGACCCTCATTGCTTCTTCTCTTGACTTTCTGCTTGGCTTCTTCCGACTAGAGAGTCACACCGAGCAGGAAATCTCTGAGACTTATTGGCTGGTCCAGGGTGTGGAAGGACAAATCCAGGGATGGCTGCCCTCTGCTCCCGGGAGTGGGCAGCAGGGAGCTGGACAAAGGGCAGAGCTTATATAGGATTTCTTAGGGGGTCAGAACTTTTCAGGACAGACACTGCCAGACTGAGGATTAATGGGATTTTTTTTTCCCCCGAGACAGGGTTTCTCTGTGTAGTCCTGGCTATCCTGGAACTCACTCTGTAGACCAGGCTGGCCTCAAACTCAGAAATCCCCTTGCCTCTGCCTCCCAAGTGCTGGGATTAAAGGCCTGCACCACCACTGCCCAGCAAGGATTACTGGGATTTCAAATCCTGAGTTTGGGGAGCTCAGGGATTGGTCCCACGAGTTAGGGTGGGAAGTCCTCCCTGGCTGCAGCGGCTTCTGCTGAGACTCCATCTCTGTGGGGTTGCTGGGGATGCTGGAGAGGAGGTGCTGCCACAGTGGACAGTGTGACACACTGTGGGACACACACCTCCTGCTGCGGTGTTTCACCAAGGCTGTAGGCTGAGTCGGGAAACCTGTCCTGGACAGCTCCCGTGAAGGCTGCAGGCAGAGATGTCTCTGTGCCTCCATTTTGACAGGAGCCACCATTTTTGATAGTTCATCCTGGGCCACCGCTCCGCTGTCACAGGCTGGAGAGGGAAGAAAGGGCTGGCCACCGCTTTGACGGATTTTGTGGTGCTGTGCTTGGGGATTACACCCCGTCCCTCTTTAAACATGATTTCTTACACACACAGGAATAAATAAAATATTCCTATTTACCAACCTACTAAGCAAAATTCACCCGTGGGGCTTTTAATTCACACTCCATTTTGTGAGGAATGGGACACATAGTGTGAGTGATGCTTTCAGAGACAACACCTCCTTTTCAGCTTTCCACATGCACTTTTTTTTTCCAAATGTAAAGGAGGCTGGCCTCAAATCTGCCTTTCAGCCTTGAGATTATAAGCCTGGCTCATTTGATAGATTTAAATTGTATTTTCATGCCAGTCACAATTCAGAAATATCCCCTAACGTATGACATGTGTTATTCAGAATGGCAGCAGCGGGCCCAGACCTTAGCATTGTTACATGATCATTCTCCACAGAGCATGCGTTCTTTTCCTTACTCTAAACATAATATTCTTATACACTTTCTATCCTTATGGCAATCTAAAAACAATACCCAAAACCTTTAAGAATAATTCCTTAAAATCCATCTTCACTGAAAAACTGGACATGAATACAAGCAAATCGATTTGCTTGAAGTAAACAAGTTATGACATGATCTAACTCGATAGTGTCATAAACAAAACAATGAAACAGTCTAAAACATCAAAACCAAACTGTGATCAACTGAAAATAGCCAATTGCTAAGTTTTGTGGTCTTATAAACAACACAGTTCTGCACTGTATGTATTCAAATATCTCTTCCCTCTTACTGGCATGCGGGGCAATCAACAATTGTCATTATTAAAATGTAGGTATCTATAACTGCATGCTACTTGGCAAGTTAGCAACAAACATTAAGTTATAATTTTCACTGCTAAATCAGAATAATTTTCATGGTTTACAAGTACCATGTTTACTGAAAATTCAAAATGTAAGCTATATTTTGATAAAACTATAAATATTTTCTAAAAACAGCATTTAAAAAAAATTTTTTATACGTTGGTGTTTTGTATACATGTATATCTGTGAAGGTGCCAGATCCCCTGGAATTGGAGCTACAGACAGTTGTGAGCTGCCATGTTGTGCTAGGAATTTGATCCAGGTCCTCTGGAAGAGCAGCCAGTGCTCTTAACTACTGAGCCATCTCTCCAGCCCCCAAACAGCAGATTTTTAACAGAGGAAGTTGGAGAGCAACTCCTTATAAATACACCATACAAAGTAAAATATCAAAGAAATTCCAGTTGTTTGAGCATTTATAGCCATTCCCAAACTGTCACAGCACAACTAAATGAAAGCAGGCAACACAGCCACACACCAAAAGATATGTCCTTTCACACTGTTGGTTAAAGGAGCTGTAACACAAAGGGAGGACTGTACATGCCTTCCTACATAACTGTTCTTGAAACTTAAATGGTGTATCCAGAGCTATAAAGGTAAATTTGCATCTACCCATTGTGTAAAACTAAGAAAATAAAGCTGAACAAAAACTGGAAATCAGGAATATTCATGGAACATGATGGCTTTTTGGACAGCTCCGTGCCAGGCACGACAGCACCTATCTGGAGCGCCGGGCATGACAGCACCTATCCAGAGTGCCAGCTCCACAGAAGGATGGAGCAGGAGGATCTTTTGAGCCCAGGAACTCAAGACCAGACTGGCAATGTAGCAAACCCTTCTATATCAAATATATACATATAATTATATATAATACATGAATATGTAATTATAATATACATAAAATTATATTATATATAATTTTTTCAAGGATTCTATTATTGATCTTTAAATGTCATAACCATAAACGTCTTCTTGCCTCAGGACAAGCCGATGCATTATTTATGTTAACACAATAACTACAAATTTTATAAAATCAAGGCACAGATATCAACTAATGGGACTCATTCTCCAATTTCCTATCAAATGAAGTATCAAAAATGTGCCATTATTTCCTGGGCCATTTTGGCAACAACCGAGATTACTATGCCTTAACTAGCTAAGAACACAGTAAAGGTTCTAACGATAAAGGAACAAGCCTCCCCTTTACTTTGTGAAACACAATATTACTGCAACTATGTAGACCAGAGAGTAGCCTCAAATTCAGATTCACTTGTCTCTGCATCCTGAGCCCTGGATTAAAGCCATGGACCACTTTGCCCAACACTTGGTACCTCTAAGAGCATAAAACACAAGCATTAACTCTTACAATGTGAAAATTAGTCATTATGTTTTCCTCACTTAATGCAGATAGTAGCTTATGTCTGGAAAAAATGCCATCTGGGGTACAAGAGATGGCCCAACAGTTAAGATCACAAGCTGCTCTCCCAGAGAACCTGTTCTCAGCATCCATGTGCAAGGGTTCACAACTGCCTGTAATTCTAGTTCCAAAGATCCAACATTCCCTGCCTTGTCAGGCACCTGCAATTCACATACACAAACGTATGACTTAAGAACAAAGAATTATCTGGCTTAATAAGAATACACAGCTGAAGAGATAGCTCAATGGTTAAGAACACTGGCTACTCTTCCAGAGGACTCAGGTTCAAATCCCAGCACCCACATGGCTGGTCAAAGTTCCAAAGGATCTGACACACTGACACAGACACATGGGCAGGCAGGCAAAACATGAATGTACTTAAAATACCACCCCCCAAAAAATCAGTTTTTAAAAACTTAAAAAAAAAAGGAAGAAAAATACAGCCACAGGCAGGTTGTTCCACCATGTTTTCTCTAGATTGGGAAAAAGTGTTCAGAATCTCAGCTGTGCAGTGGTAGCTCACACAGAGGCAGACAGATATGAGTTCAAGGTTAGCCTGGTCTACAGAGGTCAACCAGAGGTACACAGAGAAATCCTGTTTCAAAAATCCAAACCCCAAAACTGTCAGAAATGTCAATTATTTTCTAATATTTAACATGTATGGGTGTCTTGCCTCCATGTACTTCTGTGTACCACATGTATGCAGTGCCTGTGGTGGGCAGGAGGTGTTGGTCCCCTAAAACTAAGAACCCTGCCCTCCAAAAGAGCACTGGTTAACTGCTGAGCCATCTCTCCTTCCCCACCCCTGCCCCCTAGTCTGGTAACTTTGTAACTCTTATATTTGACGGGATCAGACACAAGATCTCAT